GAGTGGGATGCCACTCGTCCAAAAACGATAGAGCAGGTGCCAGGCCGTGCGCCCAGCCTGCAAGCGAAATTCAACTTCACACAATGCGAAACGCGAATGTAAATGCGGCCCCAGGTACCTAGCACATGTTGTCGTGCGTCCGTCGAGGCACTGTTCTTTTAGAAGCCTGACCTCCAGGTGCGCTGCACTGTGGCCACAAAGAAAAACACGTTCTCCTGCTTAGCGGCATTCTGAGCCATCGTGATCTCACTCATTCTCTCCGTGATAATGCCATTATGGTGCCTACCCGCTTCGAGGATGGCCGCAATGGTGTTGGTCGGGACGTCGAAATTGTCGGCAGCGCCGTCCACATAGAGTGTAAAGGCTGCTTGTATCCACTTGTTGTTTCATGGACATTGAAGCTGCTGTGCTTGTAGTTGTCCACCGTAATAGACCCTATTCCCATTTGAAAGTCGTACCATGGCTGGATCTCCTGGTAGTCATCCTTGCTGGAGCAGCAACACAGTGCTGGTCGTGTCCCCAAGAAGCATGAGGCTCGCGAGTTGCACTCTGAACTTCATGATCGCCCAGTCCTTCTCCCTGAAAATGTACTCTACCTCTGGGAGAGGTTCTCGCGGTCGATACTGTAGAAGGCGTTGGTGGCGTCGTGTAGCCTCTTCACGTGGGATTCGCCATTGTAGTACTTCCGCCGCGAGAAAGCATGCTGGACAACCACAGCGGCCTCACGCCGCCGTCCAGGTAGGCACCCATGAACCCATGGCCCCACAGTCGGGGGGCGCCCTCTAGTCAATAAACTCCTGTAGTACGCCTTCGCGACCGTGCACACTAGCATGATGAGCCTCTCCCCGTCTGCGCCCTCCTTGCTGTTCCCTTTTCCGATGTTGCAGGCATCGGGGCAAATCCACGCGCGCGGCAACTTGCTGCTCTCTCTGATGCCTTTGAGGAGGCAAAACAGGACGAAATACACGGGGACCGCGGTGATCTTCTCCGTATTCTCGTATCCAATGCCATGGGGCGTCTCCCCCCTCCGCTTGTTGACCCAGTTGGGGGACATGGCGACCCTGAGGAACTCGGCGCCGATGCTGGCCTGTGGCGCGGCCCGCCAAAGGCGGAGGCGCCACGCCCCGGCCTTGAACGCCTCCATGTCCTCTGCCATTGTGTCGTTGTCTACGTCCCGGTAGCTTTCGGGCAATCTGTCTAGCAGGTCCATCATATGATCCGCTGGGAGGGAGAGTGCCGAAGCGCCGCCCTTGTCTCCTGGTAGTTGCAGTCGATCTGTCCATTCCGTGACCGTGCCGCTCGTCGAGAGTTCTCGATAGTCTCTCTTCCTTGGTCCTCTGCCTCTGGCGGCGACGAGGCGGGCAAGGCGGTGCACCTCGTGGTGGTCCTTGTTGGCCCTTGCCTCATCGAGTGCCGCCACCCTGTCCTCTTGAACTCTGTGCCAGTGCTGCTGCCTGTGCCTTCTGAGCCACCTGCTGATCGTGATGGTGCGCACTGTGATGGCGAGCTGCTCGTCGTCGTCGTCCTTGGTGTAGGCCCAGGCGAGCTTTTCGCGCAGCAGGCGCCTCTGTCGCAGCAGCCTGCCGAGCTCCGCAGCGCAATCCTTGTGCGACTCTGTGTAGCCCTCCTTGGTGTTGCAAGTGGCCTCGGCCCCTGCCTTCAGCGCGTCGATAAGGAGCTGGTTGGCCTCGACCGCTTTGTTGTAGCCCGTCTGATCACCAAGCCAGGCAGCCTTTTTCCAAGATTGTCGTATGTACTATGTCGATGAAGTCTCGTCTCGTACGTCCTCTCTGCAATAGGGCGCTGGCAGCAGTCGGCTCGATCGTCGTTCTTGGTCGCTGCTGCACAGTCATGAGCTGCTCTGAACTGACCAGCGCCATTCCCAAAGGTATGTGATCCCACTCTCTTCCCCATCTATGAGGCTGTAGTCTGCGCATACTCCGTCTGAACGTCGTGCACCATCGCACCGTGTCCAAGAGTGCTGCAGGTACCGCGATGTAGTCGAGTGTCTTGGCAACTCCATTGGACCCGACAAACGTGTAGCCCGCATCCTTCATTGTATTAGTAAGACAAAGCTCGTGTGCAATCAAACGGGGCCTGAGCAACGCGGCCGCTGGACGTTCTTCCTGTCCCAGTGCATAGGCTCCTATGATCCCCTCGACCTCTGTGGCAAAAACAGAGTTCAAATCCATTGTGATGATAGGGGTCCACCTTCCCGCGAGCCCGTCGAGGGTCTTGGATAGCCATCTAATCATACTTTCACAACACTGCATGTATTTGACCTGTTGGGCTCTCTCACGGGTACAAGGTGGGAAAGACAATCTGATGAATGCGAAACGGAGATGCTGACGTTCGACTTTGCAACAGAGCACTCGCCCCCGAAGACCACGGGGGGCTACGGCTGCACCGCGGAGATGACACGGACGAAAAACCTTGTTGTTGAACCGTATACTGATGCCGCACAATTTGTTGGTGTGAGCCCCAGACTTCCAGCCCTCGG